TTCTCCACCTCATTTGACACCAGAAATTGCTTTTCATGATACAGCAGAGTCCGTGCGACGGGACCATCCGTCACGGATAACTCACGGTGTGGCGCGGGGAGATTTGTCACTGCCGTCCCTCAGCTACTCCAGCCGACTGCGGCTAACTGCGCCCCAGCTGTAAGCCTGGGAGAAGGACGGGAGTCACACAGACTCAGATGTTGGTGGGAAAGTGTGCAGGAGTCGAGACACCCAGGGGTGGGTCCCCCTGTTGCCACGAATCCAGCACCAGGTGATGCTGGGAGAAGCCCTCGATGTGAGTTAAGATTATTTATTTCTTACCAAATCCACTCCTCTGACTGCGCAAGAGGACAGACGGTCTGGTCCATTTTTTTTTTTTTTTTTTTTATCCTCACCCGAGGACATTTTTCCATTTTTTGTTCAGATAGAGCGGGAGGAAGAGAGAGAGAGAGAAACATCGACGTGAAGGGACACATCGAGTGGCTGCCACCCTCACGACCAACCAGGGCCGGGGACAAACTGCAACCGAGGTACGTGCCCTTAGCGGGAACCGAACCCGGGTCTCTCTGTACCGCAGGCCGATGCTCCAACCGCTGAGCCAAACCGGCCAGGGCTGTCTGGTCCATTTTGATGGAAAGGATGGGGGGTGGATGGAATGGAAGATGGATGGATGGAATGATGGGTGGATGGGTGGGTGGATGGAAAGATGGGTGGATGGGTGGATGGATGGATGGATGGATGGAAAGATGGGTGGATGGATGGAAGGATGGATGGATGGAAAGATGGGTGGATGGATGGATGGATGGATGGATGGATGGATGGATGGAAAGATGGGTGGATGGATGGAAGGATGGATGGATGGAAAGATGGGTGGATGGATGGATGGATGGATGGATGGATGGATGGATGGAAAGATGGGTGGATGGATGGAAGGATGGATGGATGGAAAGATGGGTGGATGGGTGGGTGGATGGATGGAAGGATGGGTGGATGGTTAGGTAAAAGTGTGGGTGAATAAATGGATGGAGGGAAGGATGGAGATAAGGATGGGTGGATGTGTGGGTGGGTGGATGGATGGATGGATGGATGGAAAGATGGGTGGATGGATGGATGGATGGATGGATGGATGGAAAGATGGGTGGATGGATGGAAGGATGGATGGATGGAAAGATGGGTGGATGGGTGGGTGGATGGATGGAAGGATGGGTGGATGGTTAGGTAAAAGTGTGGGTGAATAAATGGATGGAGGGAAGGATGGAGATAAGGATGGGTGGATGTGTGGGTGGGTGGATGGATGGATGGATGGATGGAAAGATGGGTGGATGGGTGGGTGGATGGATGGAAGGATGGGTGGATGGAAGGATGGGTGGATAGATGGATGGATGGATGGATGGATGGATGGGTGGATAGACGAATGGATGGACGGACAGATGGAGACAGAACCGGGGGCTCACACCCAGACAGGGCTGCCGCCAGCACACAGAGACTCGAAACCTTCCCTGATTCTTTAAACAGATCCTGGCTGCCGCAAGGCACAGGGAACTGAAACAGCGTGGTGTCCAATGACACACTGTATCATTCTGTGGAAACTTAAAACAACAGGGCCCATATGGGTAGGAAATTATTTTTAAATGACTGAAATGTCTAATTAGCATGATTTATCTCTTGTTCATACTTGTGCCCAGTGGGTGTTGTATGAATATCTGAATACTTTATGACTGATTAACATAAATTGCCAGGGCCTCCCATTGTTGAGAAGGGGTCAAACCAATCGCTTCTTCTTCTTCTTCTTCTTCTTCTTCTTTTTTTTTTTTTTAAGGCTGCCAGGATATGGAAAAAGTAAAATAGTGTCAGAATGGGTTGAGGAAAATTATAGTATACTTTAAATGTTTACATTTAATGAATCACCCCGGTGGCTTTCAAAGCCCTTTCAACCCCAAGCAACTGACTAAGAGAATGGCGAGGACTTACCCAGATTCTCAGCACCTTTGTGACAGACCGGCTGTGCGCTGCCTCCTTGTCAGCCAGAGGGCAGGCGGGAGGTGACCAGGACGCTGAGAACTTGCAGGACCCCGCAGGCCAGAGATCTGAGCCCTCAGAATGTGGAGGGAGACAGGAGCTTGGGAAAAGCCAAGAATAACAAAACTCTGAAGGGTTGATTCATGAAGTGGAAATGTCCCGCCATGATTTTGTGTTCTTCTATTTCCCCCTGAATATTTAAAAATAAATAAAATTATAAATTATATAGCAAATATTTGTTCCAGTTATTTATTTATTATTTGTTCCTCTTCACCTGAGGCTATTTTTTCCATTGATTTTCAGAGAGAGTGGAAGGAGGGAGAGAAGATGGGGGGTAGAGAGAGAGAGGAGCATCTATGCGAGAGGTTGCCTCCTGCATGACCCAGACCAGGGCTGGGGACCAAACCACAGCTGAGGTAAGTACCCTTGACTGGAATTGAACTGGCAACTCTTTGCTCCAAGGACTGACTCTCTAATCACTGAGACAAACTGGCCAGGGCCTCTCATTTACTTTTTTTTTTTTATCCTCACCCGAGGACATTTTTTCATTTTTTGTTCAGATAGAGTGGGAGGGAGGGAGAGGAAGAGAGAGAGAGAAACATCGACGTGAAAGGGACACATCGAGTGGCTGCCACCCACACGACCCAACCAGGGCCGGGGACAAACTGCAACCGAGGTACGCGCCCTTAGCGGGAACCGAACCCGGGTCTCTCTGGACTGCAGGCCGACGCTCTAACCGCTGAGCCAAACCAGCCAGGGCCTGTCATTTACTTTTAAACTCTGTTTCTGGTGTCTTTTTCCATAAATAAGTTTATTCATATTTTTATCATCATATCTCTCAGTCTTTTCCTTTATGATATATTTAGAAAGGCTCTCACAATCCCAGGTTTATGACAAATATCTATATATCTATCTAATTAATTTGGCTTCAGTTTTTTTTTTTTTTTTTACAATCAGGAGTTGATAAATTTGGAATTTATTTTGGTCTGGGGAAGTAGGTAGAAAATCAGCTTCCATGCCCTGGTTGGTTTGGCTCAGTGGTTAGAGTGTCGGCCCACGGACCAATGGGTCACAGGTTTGGTCCAGTCAAGGGCACGTACCCCAGCCGTCATGTGGGAAGCGGCCAGTCTCTCTCTTTCTTCCTCTCTCCCACTCTATCTGAAGATAAATAGAAAATTATCCTCGAGTGAGGATTTTTTAAAAAATCAGCTTCCGCTAATTCCTCTTCAGCTATTCCAATATCATTTTTGGGGAAAATCCATCTATTCTATTAACTTGAAGTGCCACCTTGAACACCACAGTTTCTCGTGTTCTTATCATTGTGAGCTCCTCGCCCCAGTCCACTGAGCAGTCACCTCGGGGCAGGCAACACGCTGTTTTAACGACCGCTGCTGTGTGAGGAAGGCAGCGCACTGTGACAGGTCTGAGCACCGACACCAAGGTCCCGGGGGCAGGACGCCTGCCTGCCACCCCCTCCCCCCGTGGTTTTGCGGGTGATATTTACCCTACTGAGCCCCTTGTCTTTAGCTGTAAGTGACAGCAATATTAGTACTTGCATCACAGGGTTGTTGTGAAAAATAACACACCTGTGGGATCAGCACCCCGTCGGTACTGGGTCTTATTCACCCACCTCTTTCTGGGATGCCCAGCGCGGCTCCTCGGACCCACACTTCTTACCAAGATGGCGTGGACTGCTCGCTCTGCCGGGGAGTCCTGGAATCACTGTCAAGTGAAAGAGAAAAGTCTCCCTGGAATTGGACAGGGATTGTACTGAACATACAGATAAAGAGCATTTGATGTGGTTACATCCTGGTCTGAGGACAAGGGTCCCGTGTCTTCTTCATCCCCCAGGAGAGAAATGAAGTTCCCCACAAAGCTGAACCCATCCCATGATGAGTTATGGTCCTCTTTGCGTATGGCTTTGCTGTGAGCAAGAATGGGATTTTTCTTTCTTTTTTTATCCTCACCCGAGGACATTTTTGCATTTATCTTCAGACAAAGGGGGGGGGGGGAAGAAACATCATGCGAGAGAGACACATCGACTCGTTGCCACTCACACAACCCCAACCGGGGCCGGGGACAAATGCAACCGAGGTACGTGCCCTTAGCGGGAACCAAACCCAGGACCCTCTGGTCTGAGGGCTGATGCTCTAACCTCTGAGCCAAACTGGCCAGGGCAAGAATGAGATTTTTCATTCAGATTTCTAAGTGGGCAACAATACTGTTAATTTGGTTTTGTTTTTTTGTTTAATCCTAACCCGAGGATATTTTCCCTTTAACTTTTAGATGGAGCGGAAGGAGGGAGGAAGAGAAGCATTGATGTGAAAGAGAAACATTGGATGGCTGCCTCCCACACCACCCCGAGGGGCTGGGGATCAAGCTTGTGACCCAGGTACCTGGCCTTGACCGAGAATCAGACCAGCCAGGGCTAATCTGGCATGTTTATATGCTGCAAAGAATAATCATTTTTCTCCTGCTTTCCAATTTTTGGGGTATCTGTTTGTCGTTCTCACAAAGGCACAACTTGCTGTTTTCCACCCTTTTCTTCTCCACGTTGCATTGACCAGAGTTTGCAAAGCGGCCTCCTCGGGATCCCAACTTTGGTGGAAAGGTCGGTCTGGATACCAAGCACAATGAAGGCGGAGACTCGGGGGGAGGCGTCTGCTTTTCCGTAAATGAAGTAGCCGAAGGGGACGCTTCGGCTCAGAAACGCCCAGATTGGTGCGCGCTCGTGCGCGCCAGGGGCTCGCGGCCCCCTCCCCGCCGCCCACGCTCTGTCTGGCCGGGGGTGAACTTTCTGCTGCGTTTCCGCTTGAACAGCATCCAGCTGCCTCGCCTTTAAAATGCCAGGCCGGCTGCTCAGAGCCCCCTCTCGGCGGCTGGCCCTGGCTCGCCCGCACCGCCGGGGCGCTGACTCAGCCGCAGCCGGGCCGCCGCGCGCCCAGCCGGGCCTGGCAGCACCCCCGGCGCCCCGGCGCCCCCGGCCGGGAGGGGCGGCGGCCACCAGCCAGGGCCCCGAGAGCGCACGGGACGCGCCCCGCCAGGTAAGGGTGCGGGGCCGGGACCCCCGGGCGCCTGCGGGCTGGGGCGCAGCGTGGTGGGCGGCGCGCGGGGCAGGGGTCGGGGCGCGGGCGAAGGGCCTGCTCCGAGGTGTGGCCGAGACCGTCCCGGGGGCGCTGCGCCTGCGTCGGGAGGGCCGGAGGGTCGCCGCAGCCCCGGCGGCGCTGCAGTGGCCCGGCTGTGGTCGGCGTGGGTCTGTGCACCTGGAGGAGTGTCTGTCCTGCTGTCTTCGGGCACCACTGAGCCATCACCTCTGCACTCGGGGGTCCTCGGCCCTCTGCCGCCCTGGGGTTTGAGCAGCCTGAGTTGTTACTGAATCAAAGTTAGACATTCCCGTCAAGTCCAGCACCTACAATGCGGTTCCTTCCTGTGGCTGACAGGTTCCCAGAACCAGCCCGGTTTTCTCCGCGTAGCCCATGAAGGTCACCGTGGATGTAAATGCAACTTCGGGGGAAAGTTCTGTGGGTGGAGGCCTTTCTAAATGCCAGGTCTGGGCGGGTTTGGTTCCGATGTGCGCCGCAAAGCCCACCTTTCAGATACTTCATCGCGCCCCAGTGAAGAGCAGCGGCTCTCTCCGGGTGGTATTTTGGGGAATGTCGCCCAGAACCGAGTTTTGTGAGTGTCTCTACTGCCCCTGGGAAAGTTCTGGAAAGGGACACCAAGGTGCCGCACTTCCCGCGGGGTGCTGGGGGTCAGGCACCCTGGCTTTGGGTCCTCCCTCTCCCTGAGCTGCCTCTTGACACCAACTGCAGTAACCTGACCTGGTCTTTGCAAACCGGCGAAGTGGGTGTAGGACACCGTAAGGCGAAACAGCCAAGGCCTGGGAGGTGACTTACAAACTGGATTTGGATCAGGGACGGCTTAGCATAAGATACCAGGTCTGAGGACACATCAGAAGAAAACTGAAACAAACCAAAAATGATCTCTGGCTGGTTTGGCTCAGCGGTTAGAGCCTTGGCGTTCGACGGAAGGGTCTCAGGTTCGATTCCGGTCAAGGGCACGTACCTTGGTTGCGGGTTCCATCCCCAGCCCTGGTCGGGTTGTGTGGGAGGCAACCGATCGACACACAGATGCTTCTCACTCTGTCCCTCCCTCCCTCCCACACTCTCTGGAAGAATCAATGGGGAAACATCCTTGGGTGAGGATTAAAAGAAAGAAAACTGTGTAAGCAATAACTTCCCTTTGGAAAACTGTTCTGAGACCAGTGACTTTCCGTTAATCCTAAAACATATTGTGGGGTGGCTCCGCACGTAGTCCATGTAACCTCTGCCTTCGTACATTCTTGTTCCGAATGATTCCTTTTCCAATCACTTTTTCCAGTTGCATTTTTTAAATTCCTGAACAACGTGCAAGTGATGAACGCGTGAAATTTAGTGCGCCTCTTGAACTCAAATGGGTCTGGGAAATCATGGCAAATTTCTATTTAAGATGTCAGTTTAAAATCAACAAGATTATAGTGGAATGAGGGTTTCTTTTCTGTTTGTTTTTGATGGTATGAACCTTACTTAGCCTGAAAAGCAAAACAGTTTTTTTTTGCTAGAAGCAGCTCAGTGACAGGTTATAAGTTATGAGACAACGGTGTACCCTTTGTTTATTCCCCGTGTGAGTTAATGACAGAGGCCGCCGTTCTGAATAGGCTGCCTTGCAAATCTTCCTCCCACCAATGTTTACACTGCCAGGACACACGGTCGCTGCACAGACTCAGCACCTGCAGGCCCAAGGCGGTATGTGTAAGCACTCAAATCCAACAACACGATTTCCATGATTTAAATGGAAAATGAAATGGTATCAAGGAAAATGTCCTTAAATTATTCTGTCTGGCCACAATAGAAAGAACAGCGTTTATAAAATTGACAGCGTTCCAAGGCTTTGAGGTCAATACTTCTAACAAGCTCGGATGGGGTGCAAGGGCCATAATCCATCGAATTTTGGCAACGAGAGCTGTGGAACCGGTCCATGGCAATGAATATACATATATATATGTATATGTGTGTGTGTGTATGTGTATATACACACACACACACATATACACACACACATATATGTGTATATATATGTATACACACACACGTATATGACAACTGAAGCTCACATTTAAACATTAAGAGTGACAGCATTTCCAAATATTTGAATTGTTCTGGGAGGAAATATTCCTGAAGTCCTACAGTCAGAGAGCCGGCAGGTGGGAACAGATACGTTCCGATGACGACACAGGAGCAGCCCTAAGCGGCAGTTCTTGGGTCCGGAGGGGAGAGGGGAGAAGGAGCCCCGGTGTTAGCAGCCGGCAGGTCCGCAATCAGTCCTGCTCTGCCGCTGGTCGGGGGACCCTACTGGGTTGCCTTCTGGAGATCCAGATGTCTCACGTGCAAAGTACTTACTGTAGGCCAAGCACTTTACATACTTAATTCCCAGAGCAACGTTCATTTATTGTTTCAATCCTCACCCGAGGACCTGCTTAGAGAGAGGAAGGGAGAGACACAGAGAGGGAGAAACATCCATCGAAACTGCAACCCAGGTATGTGCCCTGACCGGGAATCGAACCGGCGACCTTTCGGTGTGCAGGACGACGTCCTGACCACTGAGCCACATTGGCCAGGGCTGTCTGTCCGTTTTAAATGTTATCCTACTCCATAATACATCCCTGTTTTTATACAAAGCAGGGCAGCCCACCAGCAATGTTGCCTTGGACCACCTCCCCCCACCCCAGTGGTATTTGTGCCCCGAAAGGGAGGCCAGGCTCCTAGAACCCCAGGGACTCCAGAACGGGCAGTTCATGCCTGCCCTGGGGTGGCACTTGATGGGAAGGAGCCCTGCGTTCCCCCGGGGCCGTAAAGATAAGGAACCAGGCCACCACTCCGCAGTCCAGGCCTGTGGCAGGCTCTGGGGACTGAGCTCCGCTGCTCCTTGTGTGGACGTGAATTTTCACGCTCAGGTGGCTGTGATGAGCTGACCACAGTGGCAGGTGTGGTGACACCTATTTGTCACCCAGCAGTTGGCGATGCTGGGCAACAAGCGGCCTGGAACCGCAGGGCCTTTGACGCGCATTCCGCTGCCTGTGGCTCAGGCGGAGCTCCCTGGGCGCGACTGCAAATGGATGGCACACGGCGGCCGAGCCTCCTCCCTTGCCCAGCGCAGACACGGCTAATCCATCATGACCTTCTTTCCCGCAGAGCCAGAGTGAGGCCTGCGTCCCTCTCAGCACCTGTCTGGTGTTGGCTCATGAAATGTCACGTAGTTGGGTGCTGTAGGCAAGGGGAAGACACTGAGGAATTTCAAGCCCGTCCTCTAAGCTATAGGTCTCACAGCAGCAAGACCCCAGCCCCCTGCATGGGAATAGCCACAGGTACCAGGTCCTTGGAGGGCTCCGATGGGCATTGCCCAGCCAGTGTGGCTCATGGTTGAGCAGCATCCCGTGCACCAAGATTCCCGGTCAGGGCACATGCCTGGGTTGCAGGCTCAACCCCCAGTAGGGGGCGTGCAGGAGGCAGCAGATCGATGTTGATGCTTCTCTCATCGATGTTTTATCTCTCTCCTTCTCCCTTCCTCTCTCAAAAAAAAACCACCAATAAAAACATTAAGCCTGGCCGGTGTGGCTCAGTGGTTGAGCATCCACCCATGCACCAAGAGGTTACCTGTTTGACCCCCGGTCAGGGCACATGCCCAGGTTGTGGGCCTGATCCCCAGTGCGGGACATGCAGGAGGCAGCCAGTGATGTTCTCTCTCACTGATGTCCCCTCCCCCTGAACCTGGTGGGCCTTTGCGGCTGCCTCAATGTGTAAAAGGAGGCAGGAGCCCTGGCTGTTTTGGCTCAGAGGTAACAGCGTTGGTGTGTGGACCAAAGAGTCGTGGGTTCGATTTCGGTGAAGGGCATGTACCTCGGTTGGTTGCAGTTTGATCCCTGGCTCTGGTCGGGTCGTGCAGGAGGCAACCAGTCGATGTGTCTCGCTCACGTCGATGTTTCTCTCTCTCTCCCTCCCACCCTCCCACTCTATCTGGAAATCAAAGGAAAAGTATCCTCGGTGAGGATCAGATACATAAATAGATAGACTGAGGCAGGAGTGACATGTCGTGACTTCCCAGCCGGGTCAGGAACAACCGCAGGGCTGTTGCTGGTCTCCCTTGGGACACTCGCTCTGAGACCTCTGGACCAACGTGTCAGGGGTCGGCTGCCCTGAGGCCACCACGTGGGAAGACCCCTGGCTGAGGATGCTGCGGAGGAGCCGTCTGCGCAGCCCCAGCCGCGTGAATCCTCCCGGCGTGGCCACCAGACGTGAGGTGAGGACCCAGCCGGAGGACTCGGGCCAGAACTCCGAGAGCGACAGCCGCTCACCCAGGTAGTCCAGACGTGCGAGCAAAAACGACTGCCGTCTGTTTAGGGAGAAATAGCCGGAACGCCTCTTCGGTCTTGAGGCCGGTGGGCTGGCTGGGGTCAGAGCCTCCAGGGCCGTGATGTCACGGCCGCGGCTGCCATCTCTGTGGGATGGTTCCCGGTGCTTTGTGGACGTCACCCCTCCCATCCTCAGCCTGACCCTGTGACCTTGGTGCTTCAGTCGTCACCTCCGTCCTGCCTCTGGGGAAACTGAGGCTCAGAGAGGTTAAAATATTTGCCCAAAGTTGCCTCACTAGTAAATGGGATTGGGCTGAGATTCAAAGCCAAGGACGGGCTCCGTCTCCCAACCCACCCGGGCGCCCTCCCTCGGTAGAGGCGCTGGACTCCAGGTGACACCAGGGCCGACCCTGCTCTCTCTGCGGGAAAGATCCCAGACCAGAAGCATCAGCACCACCAGGAACCCTGCCCGAGACACGCTTCCTAGTCACCGTGTCATCTTCGCTCGGGTGGCAGACGGCAGTGTCTGGGTCTGACTCTCTCAGCCAGGACTGTGCACAGCCCGGGCCTTGCGGACCAGGCCCTCTGCCTCTGCCTTTGTGCACAGACAGGCGAGCGCCTGCCGCACTTCCCAAAGCCTGTGCTTCCCTTCCCCAGAGACAGAGGCCGTGACGCTGCACATCCTCCCGGGAGAACACGGTCCCAGCCCCGCCGGCCACCCCCGCCTGGCCGCCCCTCCCGGCAGTTCTGCTGATCAGGAGAAAAGGGTGCCTGGCTCGGCTGTTGATTCCCACACCCGGCACCGGCACCCCCTGCTGACGTGGGCTGTGCACACGAACCCTCAGGCCTCCTCTGTTTACTGGGAGCTTGCTTGCTGGGCTCAGCGGAGGGCGTGCTCGGGCAGGCGAGGAGCGGGCGGCTCTCTGCTCAGCACAGAACCGGCAGACACTTTCAAGGACTCCAGACAGAGGAGGGTGATTAATAGTGTCACGCTGGACTGATCTTCCGGGTCCCACCGCCTTGGTGACGAGGATGCTGAGTTCAGGCAGGTGCTGCCTGCCAGGCCTGTGCAGAAGGCGGAGGACGGCGGGTGGCGGCGCCAGGTGCACCGCAGTCAGCTCCAGCAGGCCCGGCTCCTCACTGCAGGTGACCCGGGGCCTCCGTCCTCCGAGGCCCGCTGCTCCCGGCCGTCCACAGGCCTCGTCCGCATTCACTGCTGCAGCGCAGCCGCCGCGGAGGGGCCGGCACTGCCGCGGCAGCAGGAGGCGGCGCTGGGGACCGTGGGCTCAGCCCCGTTCAGACAGCCACGTGCACACCCCGACCTGGCCTGGCTGGCCCCCCGTGGCAGTATGTACCCTCGCGGGTCAAGGACGGAGATGTTTTTCACACTGAACTTGCAGGAAAGGGAGACCATGGTACTGAGGAGTCTGGTTTCTGTTCATAGCCCACTGCCCGCCGCACCCCGGAGAACGGCTCTGGCCCCGTGTCCGAGGTGGCCTGTGAAGGTGCTGCCGCGGCAGGGCCCCCGCTGCCCTCACTCCCTGCACTCCGCCGCCCATGTGTCCCCTGGCCCAGCCCAAGGTGACGGCAGGCGGAAGGCGTTCCCTGGGTGGTAAAGTGACTCGGCACCAGCGTTGCAGCGTAACCTCCACACACAACTGTGCACCTGAACGCTTACGACCGTCCCTGGCAACCAGGCCCCCGAGGAGGCCCCGGACGCCCCCAAATCCAGGCCTTGCTGGCCGTGCTGGCCGACACTTGTTCTGGGGGCGGGGCGGGGCGGTGAGCAAGGGCACTGGGCACAGCTCCCTTCCTGAGAGACGGAGGTGGGGAAGGACTCGGAGGTTGGCAGGCGCGGTGTCCGTGGTCAAGGTGCCATGGCTCACGCGTCCCAGGCTCGCGACCTGCCTGTGTGACAAGGACCGTGTTCTCGCTCACAGCCTCTTCCGTCAGGGTCTGCCACCCCCCAGCCCACCCTAGAAGTGCACCCTGGGACAAGTGTGCCGGGTTGGCCTGGCAGCCACTGCTCTTGGGCGTCTGGACCTGCCCCGACCAGTGTCCCTGATTCTGAAGCAAGTCCGTGTCCAGCGCCCCCAGAAGGTGGCACGTGGCACATGTTGGCTGTGCAGCCGCAGTTCCGATGGGGACCACTGGGCTGGCCCCCAGCTCCCCGGGAATGGCAGCCAAGCACAGGCTGTGTTCCCTCCTGGGTGTCATGTGCTCACTTGCAAGCGGAGCTGGATGGGACCGTGTCTGCGGGTAATTAGGGCACACTCCATCTGGGGGCGGGGAGGGGAATCTGTACTCCGAGCTCCTCTTCTTGGCACCCTCCCCAGCCGACGGGATCTGGAACACACTGTACCTTCCTCTGGGGTCTGCCGCCAGGTCACAGGACCCAAGCCTGGCGCCATGACGACAGGGGAGGGTCGCCGGGCAACCTCTCCGGGTCTGACCTCTACGGTCTGTGTGGGGCATCCCCTGGTGAACTTGAGGCCCACCCTGGACCTGGAACTTCAGGGTTTGGGAGGCCAGACAGAGTCCTGCTGTGAAACTCAGGAGCATGAAACCCCAGGACCCTTCCCCAAGAGCCCCCTGACCCTGAGGAATCAGTATCCCAGGGCCCCAGGCAACAGGCCTGGCTGGGATCAGAAATGTGGGTTTGCTCCAAGTTCCGCTGTGCCATTGTTCTGGGACTCTGAGGAGACCCCTTCTTCCCCCACATTCTAGACTCTGCATCTGTGAAATGGAGGGAGGGGGACCAGGTCCGTGTTTTTAAAGTAGGACCAAGGAAATCAAGAAGTTGTGTGGACGCCCAGAGAGAAAGGCAGACCACACTCGAGAGGGTCTTTCTGCAGGACAGGGTGAGAGGAGAGGCCTGTGCAGGCAGGAGTTACAACAGAAGAATATACAGGGTGTCCCCCCAAAAATGTGTACACAGCTTTGAATAACTATAGAGCCAGGGTTTGCTAAAATGCATTTCATTTTCAACATGTAGTAGAATCTACAGACACCCTGTATACATTTTGGAGGGACATCCTGTATACATTTTGGGGGCTATACCCTGTAGTTCCGAAAAGAGAAAAGGAGAAGCGAATACAATTAGGTCATCATTGTGAATTCTGCACAGTGGAAACGCAGGCACTTGTTACAATGTTGCTTGTACTTTTCTACGTTGTAACTTTCTCAGACAGTTACAGCAGCAGCAGGTGTAGACCTGGCAGCCAGGAAGGCACCAGCTGCCCACCCCAGCACCTGCACACGTGCAATACTGAAACTCATTTTGCATAAATCATATCCTGTTTGGAGGATTGTCCCTCAACTTTTTCACTTAACAAAGTTTCCTAGACCTTTTCCCTCGTAGCCCATGACAGATAAGCCATTGCTGTTGTCGTCATTCCGTCACTGACAGACGTGCAGTTTGCTTCCCGTTTTTCAGTCACAACAATGGTACGGTGAACATCCTGTAGAACCCCAGGGCGAAGGAGAAGCAGAAGTCTGGCTCATCTCCAGACCTGGGTTTCTGCGTCACCATTAAAGGCAAATGAGCAGTGTTCTTCGTTTCATGCTGTTATACCCTATCGTGCAGACTCTGACATCAGTTGCTGGATAATCCTGAATCGTTTCCCCCGCCTGGTTTCCATCTGTCTCAAAGCACTGAGGAGCAAAACTAGAACTCACGACTCACCTAGAAGGAACAGTGCCTGGAGACGTCCTGGGCTCGCCTTGGAACCTGGAGGGCGCCATCACATAAGTGCTCAGACCAGACGCAGTCCCGGCCTTGTTAACAAGGGGATGCCCCTTGAGCGAGTTCAGCTCAAGGTTAAGGTGACCTGCCTGGATTCCAGCTGCTTACCAAAGCAGGCAGTGAGCCCTCTGGACAAAAGTACACCACCACCCAGAACCACCACAACTGCTCAGTAGTCCAGTGACATTTTTATCAGCTACATCAAGAGGTTGAACCAAAAGCAAAAATAAACACTAGAAGCAGACCCACAGATGACACAGACATGGGTGTTCTCAAATGCAGTGTTTAAGAAGTCATTTAAGAACATAGGTAACAAGGTAGAAGATGTCACCAGAGAGCTGGAAATTTCTCAAAGGATCGTATGGACCTTGGACAACTAAAAAGTTGAAGCTGAAAGGAAAATGTGAATAGATGAGACACATCAGAAGGCTGTATGACACATCATTCCTGTGGCTCTCTCTCTGGAGATGAGCGGGATCACAGCAGATCCAGTTAGAAAATTGCTTTGTAATCGACAAGCATTTTGTAAAATATGTTTTTATTGATTTTTAGAGAGGGGAAAGGAGAGAAACATCCATGTTAGAGAGAAATATTGATCAGCTGCCTCTTCCCCCCTCTCTCCCGCCCACTCTATCTGAAGATTAAAAAAAATAATACTAATAGAATTATCATATGATTCAGCAATTCCGCTTCTAGGCATATACCCCAAAGAGTTGAAGCAGGGCCTCAAAGAGATGTTTGCACACCCATGTTCACAGCAGCTAGAAGACGGAAGCCACCCAAGTGAAAATGACGGATTCGTGGATAAACGAGTGGTTTACATAAACACCGGAATGCTACTCAGCCTCACAGAGAAGGAAATTCTGCCGCACCCTATGACACTGAGGAATCTTGGTGACGTGACGCTAACTAAAATGAGCCGGTCACAAAAGACAAATACTGTATGCGTCTGCTTCTGAGACACATAGTATAATCTAGTTCACAGACAGAAAGTACAATGGTAGCTGCTAGGAGCCTGGGGAGGGGAATGGGGTGTTACTGTTTAATGGATGCAAAGTTTTAGGTTTTTTTTTTTTTTTATGTTTATAGTTTTATTTTCCTGCTTTAAGAAAAAAAATTTTTTCCGTGACAGTTTTTATTCAGTATCACTTTGTATTCGTTTCAGGTGTACAACCCAGTTGTTAGACAAGCACACTCTTGGCTAAGTGGTGCCCTGGTATCTGCAGTACCCATCTGGCCCCATTCACAGTTATTATAACACACTGACTCTATTCCCTGTGCTGTACTTAGGTCCCCATGACTGCTCCGTAACTACCAATTTGTACACCTCAATCCCTTCACCTTTCTCACCCGGTCCCCTCTGGGACCACGGAATTTTAGTTTTGCACGACGAAGAGTGTTCGAGAGAGGGTGGTGATGGCCCCCAACAGCATGGATGTACTTAATTCCGCTGTGCCGCACACTTAGCAACGGTTAGGATGGTCAAGTCTGTCGTTCATGTTTTACCAGAATTCTTTGTTAAAGTGCTCAGTTTTAAAAGAGAGAAGAAAAGAAAAAGCAGCGTTAGGATAAAGTGTGGGGGCTACCCCACCGCGACCAGGGGGGAGCAGCCAGGCCCCGCCCCGAGAAGACGTCGCGGGCAGTAACCGGCCTCTGTCCTGCTCTGTTCCAGCACCTGTGCCTGCTTTCTGGGTGAAAGGTCACTGCTCCCTGGCTCCCAGCGTGATGCCCAGCCTCCTGCAGCAGCCCCCCCCAGCCTGCCAGCCCACCCCGTGGCCCTTCTGAAGAGGTGACCACTCCGACCAGCAGGTCAGTGCCCTCCAGGGACAGGGGCAGAGGGAGACACGGTCTGAGAGAGGGGACAGCACAGTCCTGTGGTTACAGGAATGCCAGGCCCTGCCAGCCGGCAGCCTGTGCAGGTGGTCTCCCGAGGCCGCGCAGGGGGTGGGGAGACCGATCCCCACTGCTTCCACCAGAGGGAGAGGCCCGCAGAGGCCTGGGGTTGGGGGTGTGGGGCCTAGGGTGACTCATTTCCCCTTCCTGGGCCTCAGTGTTCACATCTATAAAATGGTCCTATCGCTACCTGGCTACCCGGCCTCCAGGGCTGTCGTGAGGATCAAATAATTAACTGGGTGTACGGCTCGAGAATTCAGGGCCGGGGCGGTGATGGCTCTGGGGGAGGGAGCAGCAGGCTGTCACTCCGAGGGGCAGAGGCGGGTGAGGAGGGGCCGGAGGGCACCTCCCCGCCCGCCCACAGAGCGGCTCTGCAGGGGTGGAAGATGGTACCAGCCAACCTGGAGCCGCAGGAGGAGCCTGCAGCCGCCGCCCTGCCATGGAGGAGCCCACGCCCGAGCCCGTCTACGTGGACGTGGACAAAGGCCTCACCTTGGCCTGCTTCGTCTTCCTCTGCCTCTTCCTCGTCGTCATGATCGTCCGCTGCGCCAAGGTCATCATGGACCCTTACAGCGCCATCCCCACCTCCACCTGGGAAGAGCAGCACCTGGACGACTGAGGCGGGGCTGCCGGGCGCACCTGTGCCCGCCACCGCCTGCCGGCCCAGAGACACAGGAAGGGCTCGGTCCCCGGGGTGCAGAGCACCGCCTCGGCCTGGCCTGCTCTCGCACAAGCACCAGAGTGACGTGGGCCGGTGTGGGAGTCACTGTGACTATGGGGCAGTCACCTTCCCTGGCTGCAGCCCAGACGCTCAGCGTCACACCACACTGGGCTCATTCCCAGGAGACCTTCTGTCCTTAAGATGCAAACTAGCACCTGCCCTGGCCTTGGGGGCTCCCTGCACAGACAGTCACCCAGACCCAAGCCCCTCCCGAGGGCCACTGGCAAAGGACATGGCGGGTGCCTCACCCGAAACCCCACAGAAGGCCCGGGGCCTGCTTCCCAGCCATATATTTTTTAAAAACGAAAAGAGAGAGGGGTATATTTTTCCTGTCACAGAGGAAATGTGCATTTTAGAACTTCGGACGATACAGAAAAACAGAAGGAAAGGCGGAGATCACACTAAGAATCCCACCTCCCAGAAGCGGCCATTTCGAAATATTCTCCCAGCCTTTTTTTGTGTACACGTATTTTTTGCATAGTCTGAGTCACGCCACACGCATGACGTCGTATCATTTGTATTACAGCATGAAGATGTCCCCCCTCCGGCAGACGCTCTCCACACCTGTCACAGTGTTTGGCTGCAGAGTCCCGCCAGGGGGCTGGGTCGTGGTTTAATAATCATCTCCTTTGATCACACACATTTCATTCTTCGGCTCATTTTTCCTCCCACGAATGATCGCACTCAGACATGTCCTGGTAGAACGCAGTCTACACCATGACTGATAGACAGATGGGGGCCTGGGTTCTGCCCTTGTCAGCCTCTCTGAGGAGGTGTGACCAGGAGCAAGTCTCTCCACCTCTGTGCCTCAGTTCCCGCATTCTGTAACGGGGAGCATCATCGCGTGGACCTCCTGGGATGAAAGGACCGGAGGGGTGCTTTGAGTGAAATGAGCTGGAGGTGGAGGGGGGAGGGGGGGCAAGGACTAAGTTGTTGCTAATGAGTTTCCTGGGGTCCCCCGCTTTGTTCTTCCTCCCACCTCTCACCCCATCACCGACATCTCCGACCCTGCCGCAGGAATGGCGGAGCAGAGCCCACAGACCTGGTTCCAGGTCCCAACTCCACTGCTTCTTTGTTCTGCGACCCCCTTCAAGTAGCTCAGCCTATCTGAGCCCCAGTTTCCTCATCTGCAGAACGAGGGGATGACATCTACCTCACGAGGTGGTTGTGAGGATGCAATGACAGCACACGGGCACACCTTCATGTCCTTTCCGGATTCCACCACCCCAGGAGAAGCCGGGGGTCTAAGCCGAGGGGAGCCAAGGTTCTGGGTCCCCACCCACGCCTGCAGAGGCTGGAACCCCGGTTCTCCTGAACTTCCCGGGGCCACTTCCGACAGGCCAAACCTGCCAGCCGGGACCCTGGTCAGAGCAATGCCTGTCCCAGCACCTGAGCGCGAGAGACTTGGTGTCTATTAATTTACGTCATTGTCATTAGTTTTCACACACATGCTATGAAGTTAAATGAAACCACCTGAACGCTTCCTCTGAAAGCGTTCAGTTCAACCCTCCCTCCAAGGCGTGGCCACTGTCCCCCCAGAGAGACCTGCGGTTCTAAAGAAGCCCAAGCCCCCTGCCCACCCCCACGTCCCAGCCATGGGTCCCACGCCAACCCCGTGGGTTTCCAAAGCAGTGTTGCCACTAGGTGGCCCGAGAGTGAACGAGGCCAGAGCTGTCCAGTCAGCCCTCCAGGGCACACCTCGCTGTCCCCCTCCACCACGGGGGACGTGGACCGGACACACTGCAGGCGCGGGGTGCGGGGAGGCTGGGGAGCAGGGCCTGTGCATCGTCTCAGGCCCAGCCGCCTCACTCTGCAGCCTGCCTCAGAAATGACAAGCACGGCCGTGAAAAGCGCATCAGAAGCAGCTCCCAGCCCGTTAGCAGCAGATCTCAGCGGACAGGAGGGGCCTTGGGGACCTCACCTGGAGATACTTTGGACCCCTCGGGAGCGAAAACCATGACTCCCTAGGGACATGCTACTCAAAGGGCGATGGAGGAACAGCAGTATCTGAACACCAAGGAGCTGGTTGGAAATCCAAACTCATGGCCCCCAAACCTAGGGCTCAGAATATCGGGGGGCAGGCAGGAATCTACCAACAGACCCTCTGAGGGACCTTCATGAAGTGTGAGGCATTGATTCTGGGATCTGTGGTCCTAATGAACCTTTTCCCACACCTAAATTTGCTAATATTTCCGCCCTATCTTGACCCCCACCCTTGGTGGCGAGGACGAATATGATTTCAGAAGGAATATGTTTTAGAATATTTAACAATCCCTTTGCATCCAAGCCTCCACCAAAACAGTGATATTCATTATGTGTGCAAAGGTTCCCTCTAATCCCTGTCCACGTGCAAGACATAGTTTCATAAACACCGTCAGTTACATAATTCAAATCAGTCTCTCCTGAAATTACACCCTAAGCATGTTTCTGCGACAGTCTTCCTACGTATCGCTTAGGGTCCACAGACCACCCAGAGCATGTACACAATTATCCAGACTCTTACTAAGGACTCGGGGCGACTTCATTCTTTCTTATGACACATGGGCCAAGAAAATAAAGGGAAGGTACAGAGAGAGATGCTGAACCCTGAGGGGCTTGCTCAACACAATGGAGAATAAATATTTAAACTATATACTGTCCACCTAAGAAATACATGTGGGAGGGAGACCTAAAAAATATATTTTTAAATCCTCACCCAAAGATATGTTTCTATTGATTTTAGAGAGAGAGTACATGAGAGAGAGACATTGATGTGAGAAGGAAACACTGATTGGTTGCCTCCCACATACACCCTGACGGGGGATTGAGCCTGTAACCCAAGTATGTGCCCTAACTGGGAATCCAACCCGTAATCTTTTTTTGTTGTTAATCCTCACCCCAGGATATTTTTTCCATTGATTTTTAGATAGAGTGGGAGGGAGGGAGAGGGAGAGAGAGAAACGTCAATGTGAGACATGTTGGTGCCCGGATTGGGGCTGGGGTTCAAACCTGCAACCCAGACATGTGCCCTTGATGGGAATCGAACCCGTGACCCTTTGTGTGCAGGCTGATGCTCCAACCACTGAGCTACCCAGCCAGGGCAAGACCTAAGAATTGGATGGTAGTAAGAGGGGGAAAGCAACTGGACGTCACGTTCCTGTTGGTTTATGGTGCTGACGGAGAGAGGAGACGGCCCTTGGCGGTCAGAGCACCTCCACCATCTCAGGTGACATTTGGGGCTGCGGAGGGACGGACAGAAGGAAGGAACAGTGTTTGAGGACAGGAAGCTGGCCGAGAAGACCTGAAAAGCACTCAGAGAGGGGGGCCTGGCAGAGGTGACGGCAATCCTGGGCTGAGAGAGAAACCCCTGCTCTAGGGGACAGCGGTGTGTGGGGGCTGGTTCTCAGCGGTCCCCTGGACAGTCCCTTCCTGTTCTGCCAAACCCTCAGTGACGTCAGGTGCTCCACCTGCTGTGGCAGCTGTATGTGGACACCATGAAGACAAAGACAACAGAGTGGTGGTTGCAGGGTGGAGGGAGTGGATGGGGTGGGAGAGGGGATGCGGGAATAAATGGTGATGAGGAAAACAATGAAATAAAGTAAAAGAAAAAATAGATAAATAAAAGCATGCATTTTTCCTTGAAAAAAAAAAAAGACATCTGGGAGGTGGGCAAGTGAAGGAACGCCACCCGGGAAGGGACAAGCCCCGGGACAGTGAGGCAGAGCGGATGTCAGGGCGACAGTCACCGACGTGTGGGCCTGGTGGGAAAACGGGACCCTGGCTCGGCCGGCCTGGTGCCGGTGCGTCACCTCCATGTCATTTTCTCCGGCGAGTCGCTCGCATGTCCTCGCGTTCTTACAGGATTGGCAGAGCCGTGTCTCCCTCCCCCACGAACTGTCCCAGAACCCCAGAGGCCGGCTCGGGGAAAAGGGTCCTGCGCCCGGGGGCCAGGCCAGGGGAGCCAGGCCAGGGGACTGCAAGCCTGGCATCCATCCTCGGTGCGGGTGCACGCCCGTGGTCTTGCTGGGGAAGACGGGCCTGCCGTGCGTGAGGGTGACGCCCTGCCCTGCCCTGCCCTGCGGCCGTGGCCCAGTCTGCCCAGCTCCTGGGTCCACATTCTCAGGCCCGCCCTTCTGTCCAAGCAGCACAGACAGAGTGGCTGTGCCCAGAGGGACGGAGGTGAGAGGTTGAGGCACTTACTCTGCCCCCCCTCTTCCTACCGGGCTGCGGCTCGGGCAGGATCTTTGTCCACCGGTGTCCACAGCCCGCGGGGTGGCTGCCACACTGCAGCCGCTGGGATCTGGGAGCACACCGCCTCCTGCCTGCCACTCAGACTCAGGTGGTCATGGCTCCCCTGGATCCCCTAACCCTGCCGCCCCGGTAAGTGTCCGTCAATCCCTCTCCGGTGAAGGCTGTGGGTGGCTCACCTCTCCGCTGCCGGGAGTCTTAGCTGCTGACCCGCAAGGGCAGGAGGACTCGGGGGAGGGTGGCTGTGGCTGAGACACAGCCAACCAGCCCGGTCAGCCACAGACCTTCACTGCTCCCCGATGCTGGGATCTAACTAACTCTGCTTACGGTCTCAGAGCTGAGGGGTGTGGGGGTGCACCCTGCACCTGCCCCAGACAGTCACTGGAAGGATGTATGTAGAGGCTGGTGAGCGGCGGATTCCACCGACAAGGAAGAGGTGCACTGTCCGCCTGGTCTGCGCCTGCCCACATGTCCCCGTCCTGCGTCTCGGGGGCCCCTTACCCCAGCAGAGACCTGAACACACAGTTACCTGGCAGCCTAGCATCCCGACATGGAGCAGGTCCCCCGCCAGGGAAGTGAAGCAAAGCCCACTCCGACTGCTGCCCACGTGCCCCTGAATTCAGGGTCTGGGGTGCACCCTCTGTAACCGCTCCGGGGAGAGTGTGGCCACCCGCCTGCCCGCCCTAGCATCTGTGCACTCATCAACACTGCCCACGGCTCTCCGGTGCCCTCCCCTCGGCCCGCCGTCCACCCTGGGCCCCCACGGCCCTGTTTTGAGCGTTGTGACATTATACAGACTAGGAGTGTCCCACTCCCGTCAGCAAGGAGGCGGCTCCCGTGCT